GTTTGTTAGCATACAGATTTTCATAGTATTCTCTAATAATTCTTTGTATTTCTGTGGTGTTCGTAGTGATTTTTCCTTGCTCATTTCTAATTCTGTTTATGTGTGTAGATTCTCTTTTTTGCTTAATAACTCCAATTAGGGGTTTATCTATTTTATTTATTTTCTCGAAGAACCACCTTGTGGCTTCATTGATTCTTTCTACTGTTTTATTCTTCTCAATTTTATTTATATCCTCTCTGATCTTTATTATGTCCCTCCTTCTTCTGACTTTGGGCCTCATTTGTTCTTTTTTTTTTCTTTTGTTCTCATTGATATACAATTACATGAGCAACATTACGGTTACTAGACTCCCCCCATTATCAAGTCCCCACCACATACCCCATTATAGTCAGTGTCCATCAGAGTACTAAGATGCTTTAGAGTAACTACTTGTCTTCTCTCTGTTGTACAGCCTTCCCTCTGCTCTCCCCCTACATTGTATATGCTTATTGTGATGTCCCTTCCCCCCCCCTTATCCCTCCCTTCCCATGCATACTTCCCAGTCCCTTTCCCTTTGGTAACTGTTAGTCCATTTTTGGGTTCTGTGAGTCTGCTGCTGTTTTGTTCCCTTCAGTTTCCTCTTTGGTATTATACTCCACAGATGAGCGAAATCATTTGATACTTGCTTTCTCCACCTGACTTACTTCACTGAGCATAAAGCCCTCTAGCTCCATCCATTTTGTTGCAAATGGTAGGATTTGTTTTCTTCTCATGGCTGAGTAATATTCCGTTGTGTATATGTACCATGTCTTCTTTATCCATTCATCTACTGATGGTCACTTAGGTTGCTTCCATTTCTTGGCAATTGTAAATAGTGCTGTGATAAACATAGGGGTGCATATGTCTTTCTCAAACTGGGCTGCTGCATTCTTAGGGTAAATTCCTAGCAGTGGAATTCCTGGGTCAAATGGTATTTCTATTTTGAGCTTTTTGAGGAACCTCCATACAGCTTTCCACAATGGTTGAACTAATTTACATTCCCACCAGCAGTGTAGGAGGGTTCCCCTTTCTCCACAACCTTGCCAACATTTGTTCTTGTTTGTCTTTTGGATGGTGGCCATCCTAACTGCTGTAAGGTGATATCTCATTGTTATTTTAATTGCATTTCTCTCATGATTAGTGATGAGTAGCATCTTTTCATGTGCTTGTTGGCCATCTGAATTTTTTTTTTAGAGAAGTGTCTGTTCAGCAACTCTGCCCATTTTTTAATTGGATTATTTGCTTGCTTGTTGAGGTGCATGAGCTCTTTGTATATTTTGGATGTCAACCCCTTATCAGATATGTCATTTATGCATATATTCTCCCATACTGTAGGATGCCTTTTTGTTCTACTGCTGGTGTCCTTTGCTGTACAGCATCTTTTTAGTTTGTTATGGTCCCACTTGTTCATTTTTGCTTTTGTTTCCCTTGCCTGTGCAGATGTGTTCATGAAGAGGTTGTTCATGTTTATGTTCCAGAGAGTTTTGCCTTTGTTTTCTTCTAAGAGTTAAGTTTCATGACTTACATTCAGGTCTTTGATCCATTTCAAGTTTACTTTTGCGTATGGACTTTGACAGTAATCCAGTTTCATTCTCTTACATGTAGCTGTCCAGGTTTGCCAACAGCAGCTGTTGAAGAGGCTGTCATTTCCCCATTGTATATCAATGGCTCCTTTATCATATATTAATTGACCATATATGCTTGGTTTAATATCTGGACTCTCTACTCTGTTCCAGTGGTCTATGGGACTGTTCTTGTGCGAGTACCAAATTGTCTTGATTACTGTGGCTTCGTAGTAGAGCTTGAAGTTCGCAAGCGAGATCACCCCTGCTATATTCTTCCTTCTCAGGATTGCTTATTTGGGGTCTTTTGTGATTCCATATGAATTTTAGAATTATTTGTTCCAGTTCGTTGAAGAATGCTGTTGATATTTTGATAGGAATTGCATTGAATCTATAGATTGCTTTAGGCAGGATGGCCATTTTGACAATATTAATTCTTCCTACTGAAGAGCATGGGATGAGTTTCCGTTTATTAGTGTCCTCTTTAATTTCTCTTAAGAGTGTCTTGTAGTTTTAGGGTATAGTTCTTTCACTTCCTTAGTTAGGTTTATTCCTAGGTATTTTATTCTTTTTGATGCAATTGTGAATGGAATTATTTTCCTGATTTCTTATTCTGCTAGTTCATTGCTAGTGTATAGGAATGCAACAGATTTCTGTGTATTAATTTTGTATCCTGTAACTGTGTTGAATCAGATATTAGATCTAGTAGTTTTGGAGTGGATTCTTTAGGGTTTTTGATGTACAATATCATGTCATCTGCAGACAGGCACAGTTTGACTTCTTCCTTACCAATCTGGATTCCTTTTATTTCTTTGTGTTGTCTGATTGCAGTGGCTAGGACCTCCAGAACTATGTTGAATGACAGTGGGGAGAGTGGGCATCCTTGTCTTGTTGCTGATCTTAGGGGAAAAGCTTTCAGCTTCTTGCTGTTAAGTATAATGTTGGCTGTGGGTTTGTCATATATGGCCTTTATTATGTTGAGGTACTTGCCCTCTATACCCATTTTGTTGAGATATTTTATCATGAATGGATGTTGAATTTTGCCAAATGTTTTTTCAGCATCTATAGAAATAATCATGTGGTTTTGTCTTTTTTGTTGATGTGGTGGATGATGTTGATGGATTTTTGAATGTTGTACCATCCTTGCGTCCCTGGGATGTATACCACTTAATCATGATGGATGATCCTCTTGAAGTATTTTTGACTTTAGTTTGCTATTATTTTGTTGAGTATTTTTGCATCTATGCTCATCAGGGATATTGGTCTGTAAGTTTCTTTTATTGTGGTGTCTTTGCTTGGTTTTGGTATTACAGTGATGTTGGCCTTGTAGAATGAGTTTTGGAATATTCCCTCCTCTTCTACTTTTTGGAAAACTTTAAAGAGGATGGGTATTAGGTCTTCACTAAATGTTTGGTAAAATTCAGCTGTGAAACCATCTGGTCCGGGGTTTTGTTCTTAGGTAGTTCTTGGATTACCAGTTCAATTTCCTTGCTGGTAACTGGTCTATTCATATTTTCTGTTTCCTCCTGGGTCAGCCTTGGAAGGTTATATTTTTCTAGTAAGTCATCCATTTCTTCTAGATAATCCAGTTTGTTAGCATGTAGTTTTTCTTAGTATTCTCTCATAATTCTTCATATTTCTGTGATGTCCGTAGTGATTTTTTCGTTTCTCATTTCTTATTCTGTTTATGTGTATAAACTCTTTTTTTCTTGATAAATATGGCTAGGGGTTTATCTATGTTGTTTATTTTCTCAAAGAACCAGCTCTTACTTTCATTGATTCTTTCTATTGTTTTATTCTTCTCGATTTTATTTATTTATGCTCTAATCTTTATTATGTCTCTCCTTTTTGTGACTTTGGGCCTCATTTGTTCTTCTTTTCCAGTTTCATTACTTGTGAGTTTAGACTGTTCATTTGAGATTTTTCTTTTTTCCTGAGGTAGGCCTGTATTGCAATATACTTCCGTGTTAGCACAGCCTTTTCTGCATCCCACAGATTTTTGTGATGTTGAATTATTGTTTTCATTTGTTTCCATATATTGCTTGACCTCTGTTTTTATTTGGTCATTGATCTATTGATTATTTAGGAGCATGTCATTAAGCCTCCATGTCTTTGTGGGCCCTTCTTTCCCACTGGCACCTGTGAGCAAACCGGCTGTCCCTGTCATTGCTGCACATCAGCCAGGGAGCAGCCTCACCTACAGCAACCACACAGCTTAACACAGAGGCTTCTCCCTGCATGCAGCTAACTGACCAGACCCAGAAGCTGCTCCCTGCATGCGATTGACTGGCACAGAAAGTGGACATGGGCACAGAGTCTGGAAGGCACAAAGGGGCTTTCTTCTTGTGACACAACATGCGCCACTCGCCTGCAATCCCAGATTGGGGAAGTTTTCAGAAATTATTTCTTCAAAGACACTTTCTATCCCTTTTTCTCTCTCTTCTTCCACTGGTACCCCTATAATGAGAACATTGTCCCATTTGGATTGGTCACACAGTTCTCTCAATAGTCTTTCATTCCTGGAGATCCTTTTTTCTTTCTCTACCTGAGCTTCTCTGATTGTGGAATCAGTTTGGTGGCCGATTGGATTTGGGAAGCTTGAGAGAGGTTGCCTCAAGGTATTGGTGTGTGGTTGGTGGAAAGGCCTGAGAGAAGGCAAGCTTTGGATGTTTTCCCTGCATGTGGCTACATTTCGGTCTAACCTGCAGAAGCACACACCTCTCTTCTTCATAAATCCTCCTGTTTTAAAAGGGTCAACCGTTTTCCCTTCCCCTCCCCCTCCTCACCACACTTTCCCCGTAGTCCCTCCCTTGATAGTACCATCTGTCAGGTAAGGCTCTCCTATCCTGACAGGCAGTGGGGTTTCCTTTCTGGGGCTGTGGGATTGGTCCCTCAGGGCAGGTTGTCACTTTGCTTGCCCTACCATGATGTTAGCCTAAGACGTGTGTAGTGCATGGTAAGGGGACCACTGATGTGTCTTCAAACTTGTATTTTATGTTCCCTTTTCCAGAATGGAATGATGGTGGTTGGTCACCTCAAGGAAGAAAGAACAATGAGAGTTCTTTCCCAGGAAATTTTGGCAGGAGGGGTGCTTATAATGAACATGGTGGATATGAGCCTCAGCCTTTGCACCGCCAGAAGGGTGGTAGAAACATGATGAGGGCTGCCCAGTACTCCCAAGAAAGAAAGTAAGTGACCTGACAGCCTCGTGTGCATGTGGCATTCCCTGGGACTATGCAGCCCTTTTACTCTCTATGATCTTTTTATTGTCTCACTGGAATACTGAAGAAAGCTAAAAGAGGAATAATGGTGGAGAAATCCAAATTGTAGCCCTGGTGTCAGAGAGTTGAGTGTGCACAGAAGGCTTTCTCAGTGTTCATGGCCACCCTCCTCCTCTCCACTGCCTCTTCACAGCACTCCCTATACCATGGGACACAGAAAGAGGGCAGTGAAATGCCATGATGAACACCGTATCCACGTTACTGTGTGGCAAGACAAGAAACCTCTGATGAGAAAAATGGGGAAGAACACGAAAGATGGAACCCCAGGGAGCTGGTTCAAGATCGTAGTGAGTGTCCTGGAAAAATGTATATAATCTGCAGGAGAGAAAGGTCAGAGGGAGTTGTGTTGCTTTCACAAAGAAATGCTAAGCTCTTTGCTATGAACAGTTTGTACTTTGTCCCTTTTATTACTGTGAGTTTACATTCTTTTTCATCTGTGGACAAATTCTGAAGAGCAATACAGGTAACAGACTGTAAGGAGAACAAGACAGACTGTCTAAAGGCAAAAGTGAATACCACTGCCAAAGAGATAGAGCAACTCCAAACTAGATGCCTTAGTTTTCCCCAAGCTCTGTGTGGGAGACAGGGGTAGAGTCTCTTGAGATCTTGTCAGATTGGCAATTAGGGTCTGCACTAGGTAGGATATCTTAGAACTTTATAAAAGGAAGACTGCATTAAACATCTTAGGTCAATATTTTGGAGGAGAGCTTAGAGTAAGAGGGAGAGAAAAGAGGGCTCAGAAAATCCGTATTTGCCTCAAAAATAAGAAATCATGCCAGTGGTTCCATGTATAGAAACCCTAAAGCCCTGTAAAAGGTCGGAAAAATAACACTGTGTTGGGCCTGTTCTCCAGCTTTAATACCATGTTTTCTCTCCTCTTTCCTGTCCTTTCATTTCACCCTTAGATTCGTGATGGGATGAAGTATGATAAGATCTGGTTAATGAATATACTCCAGAGTCACTGCAGCATCCCCTTCACTCCAGTGGATGTAAGAGACATGGTGAAACCAGATGAGTGGGCACAGGGAAGGGGATAGAGCTGGCTTGCAGGGGCTATTGACCTCTGAAACTATTGCTGTTGTTTTTAATCCCTTTAGTTCCACTATGTGAAAAAACAGGCTAGGTTCTTTGTCCAGGATAGTAGCATTGCCTCTGCATTGAAGGATGTCAGCAATAAGATCTGTGATGAGAACAATCAAGAGGTATGTGTTGAGGGTAGTACCTGTACCTAGTTCCAAGGCAGAACAAGCCAGGGACTCATCGTTGTCTTTGGAATTAGAGCTCCTGGTTTTTATTACCCCACCTCTCCTTCCGGCAGATACCTATCTTTGTCCGTCCCTCCACTGTACCCTACTCTGTGCAGAATAAGATGGAGCCAGAAGAAATAGAGCAGCTAAAGGTAATGCTTACTCAAGGCACATTGGGTGCCCACACCCAGACCTACCTCTTCCCCTCCCAGCCCCCAATTGCCGATCACCACCACACCCTCAGGATGGCTCTGTCCATCTCTCTGTACAGTTGACCATAAGCAGACGATATGATGTCTTCCAGAAAGCTCTTGATCTCCAGAAGCTCCGCTTTGACCCAGGTATGACTGACAGCAGCAACTCTAGGCAGGGGAGAGCACAGGACTCTGCCTAGGAGGGAGACAGAGGGGTGGTAACATGGGAGGGGTTGGTATTGGCCTCAGACTCCTCAAAGCCTTCTGATTCCCTCCTCTCGGCTTCCTGAAGACTTAGTGGGCCATGAAATCGATATAATCCTGAATCGAAGAAGCTGCATGGCTGCCACCCTGCAAATCATTAAAGAGAATTGCCCTGAGGTGAGGCCTTAGGCCCAGTGCTGGTATCAAGGTAGGGGATGGAGGGTGGATTTGTCTTCAGGCCTGAGATAGTAACCATGACTCTCTTCTTTCCCAAAAGCTATTGTCCTTGAACTTGTGCAACAACAGACTGTACCAGCTGGATGGCCTGTCTGATATTGTACACATGGTCCCCACAATCAAGAGCCTGAATCTCTCCAAAAATGAGGTCAGGAGAGGGAGCCATATCAGAGCTGGGTTGTGAGTGGGTGGTGGCGCTCAGCAGAGTGGTGACAGGAGGCAGGAGAAAGGTACCCATCAGGAAGGGAGGAGACTGGTGGGTGTGTCACTTTCCCTGGGACTCTTTCCAGAGTTTCCTCACCATATTTCTCAGTTGAAGCGGGTGTGGGAATTGTGCAAGATGAAAGAGTTGAAGCTTGAAGAGCTGTGGCTGAAAGGGAACCCACTGTGTTACAACTTCCCAAACCAGGCCACCTACATACGGTGAGTGCCAACCCTGTCACCCTTCTTGGGCACCTTTACCTATGGAAGCCTGGCAGTGCCCCTAACAGTGCCCCTCTGCAGAAGATTGCAACCCTGGCCCTCAGAGAAGACCATAGGCCCTGCCTTCTCTTCTCTGTGTCCTTCACCCATGCATAGAGATCTGTTTTCTTTCCTCTTACCTGCTCACTGGTTCTCCTGGTTTGGGGTCTGTTTCCTGACTATGCATCCAGCAGTCTCTAGCACACCCACCCAAGAGTGTGCTGCAAGAATCAAGGCTCCCCCTGCTCACCAGAACCAGGACTGCCCAGCCTTGGTCCAGATGCTGGTGCCCTGGGCTGAGAAGGGCCCTCCAGCCCAAGGCCTCATGCTGAGACAGGCCAGCCTGCCTCTGAACTGACGTGGGGCTTCCCCCCCACTGCCCTGAGAGGGACTCCTCTTTCCCTTGGTCCAGAAGGATCCCCCCAACTCTAATCCCAGGCTGACCCTGAGCATTGCCTGCCCCTTGCTGAGGGCCCAGTGCCAGCCACTAGGCCCTCCTAGGGAAAAACCAACGTTCCTTTAGTCCAGCAGCCACAAGCAGGCTATTGCCCGTGAGCAGCGGGCTTCCTGAGGCAGGAGTGCAAGGTGGAGACAAGGGGGTGGAGGAGACAGAAGAGCAGGGCTGTCAGGGGCAGGGCCCCTCCCACCACAGGTCACATCATCTTGTCTGGTCCCCCAGAGGGGCTCCTGGTGGCCCAACATAGGTATGTTTACTCAGTCAAGGAACTAAGACAGGCACAGGTTCACAGAGACCATTGGGAGAGTAGCTGGTGATCCTGAAAGGGGGCCACAGACCCTGTACCCCATGCAGATCTGGAGCCTGACCCTTTACTCTGTCTGGGAAGGGTCTCCTGCCCCCATGGATGCCTCCAGGACCAATCCTGGGGGTGCCCTGGTCCTGGCACAATGCTGGACCCCCAGTGAAGTGTCTGAGCCCCAGGCTCCCACCCCATTCCCTCTCCTCTCTGGGGCCTTCAGAGGCCACCTGGAGGAAGGGAGAGGGAGGCAGCCTGGAGCCTAGGCTCCAGATGTGGCTCCTTGTGGCACTGGAGGAGGGGGACCCAGGGCTGTCTAGGTGGGAGCTGCCCAGGAGGATGGAGAGGGGGAGAGAGAGGGAGAACATTAAGGGAGGGCAGGTGGGCAGAGGGGCAGAGGGAATATGAACATAAAGGTGTGTGGAAAGATGAGGAAGCTGCTTTCAGATAGTCCATGTGGCAGATGCTCAGTGCTCAACAAGGAAGGAAACCCAAGATCCTTGCAATCAGAGGCTGAGTGAGTAAAGGGGGCTGTTGGATAAGCAGAACACACTAGTCTTTGTTTATGGTATTACCATTTTAACTCAAAGGAAGCATTGCAACCAAAACTATCAACCACATCTTTCTATTTTTGGTTTTGGACAGTGCCATCAGGGATTGTTTCCCCAAGTTGTTGCGCCTGGTAAGTGTCTACATTCCTCATGTTCTCTTCCTAACATTGATGACCTCCACACCTGCCCTCAGGCCATTTTGGGCTTGCCTAGTTTGCATGTTTGCATCATGCCCTTATCCATTTTGAGGGACATGAACTCTTGAAAAAAACATGGATATTCTTTCTGGGAAAATGTGCATAAACACACAAGAACATAAGCATACAGACACAGAAAAGTTGCATATAAAGAAACTTTCTAAGACCTTGTGATGAAGATTCCTACTGTAATCTTGCCTATGGAATTCACAGGGCCCTTTCACACCTGACCTCTGACCCTCACCCTCTCCTGGGCCCATCCTTTTCCCTGATCATCCTGGGCCAGCTCCCTGGTCTCCACTGCTGACTGCCTCTTCCCTCTCCAGGATGGCGAGGAGTTACCCTCACCACATACCACTGACATTGAAAGATACTGCTTGGAAAAGCCCTGCAAGGTGAGGAACAGGATCCAACAACATTTGGGGTACTGCAAGGGAGGCTTTATCAGCCCCATAGTCTCATCTCAAATGGAATCTTCTTTGGTTACAGGAAGACTTGAAAGGATCTGATCCAGTGAAGGATCTGATCCTGCCATTCCTGAAGCTGTAAGTACCCCTGGGACCAGGAGGACAGAGTGTGCAGGGACAGGAGGGGCCTCCCAAGCTCAGGACTGTTCAGTGTGTCCTTGAAGTCCCATGTGGGGTCCAGACCACAGAGACAGACTGTCCTTGCTCCCCCACAGGTATTACATGATCTATGACTCTGGAGACCGACAGGCACTCCTGGGTGCTTACCACATTGAGGCCTGCTTCTCCCTGACCATTCCCTTCAGCTCCGAGGCCCCAGCCCTGTGAGTACCACAGCTCATACTCTGCTCCTGGGCTGCGAGGCTCCCCAGCACAGGAGGCCAGCTCCTGGGAACACCCACCTGGCCAGAGCACCAACCCTCTTCCTCTTTTTTCTCCTAGGAGGAGCTTGTGCGAGTATGCCAAGGACAGCAGGAATATAAAGGAGCTCAAGGACCCCTGTGCGTGTGTGGTGGGCAGGACTGGCCAGGCCAGGGAGTGGAACAGGTACGTCATGAGCTTAGGGTGTGGCCGCCCCCAGCCTTGGCTTTCTTCTCCCTTTACAGTTCTGAGGGTTCAGCTGCTGAAGCAGACACAGCCTGAGGTCCTGCGCTCCCTGTGCATGTTGCCAAAAACTCAGCATGACCTCAGCTCCTTCATGGTGGACATGTGGCTCCATACGGTAAGCGCCTGCCCCCTCCCTGGGGCCCTCCCAGGGAGCCTCAGGTGGGTGGGAGATTTGGATGGTGCTGAGCACCCAGGCACTTCCCTTTCAGGAGACCATGCTTTGCTTCTCTGTCAACGGGGTCTTCAATGAAGGTGAGCCTGTGCAGGGACCCCTCTGCAGATGCCCCATGATCCCTCCCGCTGACTGGGCTCTCTCTCAGAGCTCTCCCAGCTTCCCTGTCCTTCCTCTTCCCGCTGTTATTCTCCACCTCCACTCTGCCCCAAACCATCCAGGTCTGACCCGCATCCATGGCTGTCGGGCACCCACAGCTTGGGCACCAGCGACACAGGCCGTGCGAGTTTGCTGGCTCTCATCCTAGGTCTTCACCCTGTGACTTCGGGCCCAGTACCTAACCTCCCAGTTTCGTTTGCACAACGGGGCTAAATGAACCCACCTCTTGGGCAGCTGTGAAGAATGAATTATATGGGCTTGTGAAATGGTTGTCACAGGGCCTGGTACACTGTAGGGTCCCAGTTGCCCTCCCCTTCCATGATGCCCTGACTCTCAGAGAACGTTTATTCCCTTCAGCGGGAATACCAAGTCCGACCCTGACTTGGGGGAACTCTGTGAGAGCATGGGAAGTGTGCGAGCCTCTATGGGGTTTTGTTGTTTATTGTCGTCTCAGTAGTAGGATGGTGTCAGGGCTCTCTTCGTGCCTTCACCCGGACTTTCATCACCATCCCTGCCAGAAACTCCTCTGGGTGAGTTGTCTGTTGTGTGTGGGAAGGACCTATCCTAGTCTGGGCTCCACAGTGTGGAATCAGAATATATACATATCATCCTCTGAAAATGGAGCTTAGACTGTCCACTCCTTGGGCTGTTGTCCACTGCAGGTGTAAAATCATCCTTGGTTTGGGGATGAACATATAAATCCAGTAAAACTGGTAGACAGTCTCCCTAAAGGTGGGCTCTGTGGGAGAGAGAGGTACCAGCCAAGGCATCTAGGGGGCAGGCACCATGGTAGTATAGAAGGAATCTGGTTGTTCGGTATTGCTCAGTGGCAGTGGGAGCAGGATCATTGTTGTGGGTGTGGGTTGTCCATCTGTCCCGTTGTCTGAGGGCCCATTTCTCTTCCAGTCTCTGCATCACGAATGATGAACTGTTTGTGATGGAAGCCACCCCCAAAGAGACTCAGAGTACATTCTCCACCCCAGTGCCCATACCGTCCTGTACCTCCATGCCCATCCTCTCCCAGCAGCAGCATGAAATGGTGATGACTTTCTCCATCCAGTCTGGGATGAACCCCAAGTGGTCTCAGAAGTGAGTGCTGGGTGTGCACAGGGATAGGAGGAGGCTGGGAGAGTGGGGTTGGAATCATGGAAGCACACAGGTAATTTGGAATAAAAAGCATTTGGATATTTTTATTTCCCAGAAGAAGTAGGCATATGTCAGAAGTATTGTAATTTATGATCACACATGTGAAGAATTTTTGAAACTGTATCAGGGTCAGATGACACTATTTTGTATAGGGTTTCCACTAGGTCTTTCTTCATCATTACTTATAGTGCTCATACTGGTACACGTGCACCAGTAAAAACATGGCATAGATTTAGTGGTGGCATGGCATGGTATGGTCAGCATGTCTGTGCTGTGGTACTGATCAGAAGATCACCTGCTCTTCTCCCACTCCAGGTGCCTGCAGGAAAACGAGTGGAACTATGCCAGAGCTGGTCAAGTCTTCACTACACTTAAGGTGAGGTTTGGGAGTCAAGTGGGTTAAAGATGGTGCTTCTGGGCCTTCATCAGGGTCACAAAGGTGCAGGCCAGGGGCCTGGGAATAATACTCAGGGAGCTGGCCCTTCTGACATCCTAACTCCTTCCCTTCAGGCTGAGGGCAAGATCCCAGAGGAGGCCTTTGAACCAGCCCCAAAAAGGAGCCTTTGATGTCATCTGTGTCTTTATCCACATCATCTTCTTCAACTTTTCTCCAGCCCAAGGCCACACCCATGACTGGGGCTGGAGGCCTTCTTGTCCAAGAAGACAGAGTTACCTTGTAGGCCAGGTCACATAACCACCTAAAGGATCTTTTGCTTTGTGTGTTTTTCCCAGTCGTGATTGCTGTTTATTTTCAAAATAAAGAGTGGTGCCTTGCTTTGCATACTGTGTGTCCTGGATCATTCTCTCCCTGCTCCAACCATGAGCCAGTGGGTCCAGCACTGAAAGGCCCTGTGCTCCACTACCCCATTTACCCTGGAAGTACTGGCAGGTATGTGGAGCTTGACTCTACAGGCATTTTATTGATAATTCTGATGAGGTGGGACATACGCTGCTTCCAGGGATTGGCCTTTGGGGACAGTGTGACTCAGATGCTCTACCTGGGGACCTGCAGAAGCAGGCACGTGACTGGAACACTGGGACAGGGGTGTGGCAAGGGATGCCTACCAGCTGGCAAGGGCTATGGATGGAAGGGAGGTGAGGACTTACATAGGTGACTCCTTATTCCCAATCATTTGAATGATTACAAAGACCATAGTGTGACCACTTTTTGATCTACACATTGGTGAATGGGGAACGGGCCTCTTCACACTTCTCACCACGCTTCCACCATTTGTCTCGTCATGCATCCACTGAACTGGCCCCTCCTGGGCCCTGGAGGTGCCCTGTGGGAGGGATCTCACTGGAGCACCTGAAAGTGAGGGAGAGTCAGCCTGTCTGCCCAGTGCATTTCTCAGAGAGCAGACACCAGGCACTCCATGTCCATGGCCTTGAGGGGTTCAGCCTTTCATTTTCACTTTCAAACCAACAATGAAAGTACGGAACCTCACAGTATGGTCAGTTTTCTGGCACCTTTCTCATCAACCAGCAATTAGCAGCTCAGAATTGCAGGCAAAAATTGAATGGGACACTTGCACAATTTACTTTCCATACTTTTGTAACGTGCATCTTAGACAACAAGCAGCCATAATTTTTGAAATTAAAATGATAGCAGTACCAACTTTCAAGTTGCAGTCCTGCAAATGATGACACAGATGGGGTACAGCCAGCGTACAAATTATGCTTCAATTTTCAGGTCCCAAGTAAGTCCTCTCCTACCACTCTTCTGCTCTTTATGTAAGTACATGCACGTGAGGGATCCATAAGCTGGCATGTGAATTTCTGAACAATAGGAACTAAGGGGATAACTGCAGTTTCGGAAGGAATAATCTCATATCATTCCCTGTAGTGTGTCCATGATCAAAGGCGAGTCTCGGCCTTCTCGCCCGGAGAGCAAAGACCATGGCAAACGCTTCTCAGCTGCATAGTGAGGAACAGAGGAAGCCTCACATGCCAGCAAACAATTGCAGTCTCCAGCTTGACTCAGGCGCTCTGAGCTGTCCTAGTTTGCTTGTGGGCAGGGACCGTGGAACTCATCACATGGCCCCTCTTCTCCCTCTGTCTACATTTTCAGGCTTCTGCATCCTTGGCCTCCTGGTTGAACAGCTCAGACACCTCATCTTTCAGTCACTCAAAACCCTGCCAGGTCCCATGATCCTGGGCAAATGCTAACCCTGCATTACCTCTCTCTGTATATAGATGACAGATATATATCTAGATGATAGATGATAGATACATAAATAGATGATAGATAGATAGGTAGATAGATGATAGAGATAGAGATAGATGATGATAGATAGATATAGATAGATAGATAGATAGATAGATAGATAGATAGATAGATGACAGATGGATGTGACAAATTGTCCTATATGGCAAGTTAAATTTTTAAAAGTATAAATGTTGAATGTTGAAGTGAAATGTGTGCTTTCCAACATTATTTCTAAAATTGTGAGTAGTCAGCAAGTAATCTCATACATTGCTTCTGAGGATAAAAATTAGCATATCCATTTCTGACTGTCATTTGGAACAATTATATATACATACATAAATATATATGTACACAGATTTTATATAAATTGAATCATAATGCAGAGGCAGTTTTGTATCCATTTCATTTTAGTTGGCAAATATATTGACACAAAACTTTGAGTATTCACTTGTTATAACAACTTACAAGTTTTTGTAAGATCTTTAGTAATGGATTTCTTCTATTCTTGACATTGTTAATTTGTGTTTTTTGTGTGGAATGAGAGGTGGGAAGGGTGATTATAATGGAAAGTAATAAATAGGAGTCCTGACTGACCAGGACCATCTAGCAGCAGCTGCTCTGTTCATTCCCCTGGGCCCTGGCACAATCTGGTTAGGGATAGGGCAGCTCAGGGACTGTGGCCTTGGAATTCAGTGGGATTAACTCCATGAAGAGGCATTATTTATCATATATCATTCTCTTCCTGCCCATCATATCTAAAGACACCAAGTTCATGGAAACTCCAATGAGGTGTGCTTCTTACAAAGGATGCCATTAGAGGTGTTTGGAGCTCCCCTCCCAGACCCCATCTGGGCCCAGGAGCCCCCCTGGGGAACAAACCCCAGAAGAAGCTGCAGGAAGTACAGAGGGAGTGATCTTGATGTTGTCTTCTCCATCTCTCATCTCCAAATAACTTGTGTGCCTTCCCTCACAATACCTCTGGCTCCTTTGCGGTACTCTCTACTCCCAACATTGTCCCAGAATTGATGTCTCTGAACTGATGGCCTCACCCCTAGGATAACTGCCTGTGATCCCCACCCTCAGCCCTAGTGCATACCTGCTGCTTATCTTCCTAAATAATCACAGAATTTCCCTCCAAGTGCTGCTTCTTATGAACCTGCCACTCTGTAATCCCCATTCTGGATAAAGCCAGTGATTCGAGCACTTCGCCCCAATAATGGCCATACCCAAAAGCAGAAACCTCTGATTTAGATCAAGCAAGATTAGACACTAGCCCCCACCTCCACCAAAATGAAGCAGAGAGAAGTGGTGTCTGGCTGTTCTTAGCACCCTAATCTGCATCAAAGAAGGGTAGTGATGTAATGGTAGGAAAGCATGCTTTCTGGAGATTAGAGAGGGTAAGTGTCTGGCAGGGCCTGAAATTCTGTAGTTGTAATAGGATGCCAGGTGTGATGGTTAATTTTATGTGTAACCTGACTAGACTATGGTACCCAGACATTTGTTCAAACATTGTTCTGTATATTGTGTGAAGGTGTTTTTTTAATGAAATTAATATTTAAATCAGTAGACTTTAAGATAAGCAGATTACTCTTCATAATGTGGTGGGTCTCATCCCATCCGATGAAGGCCTGAATAGAAAAAAGACTGACCTCCCTGGAGGAAGAGAAAATTATGGCAGCAGAAGGCCTTTGTACTCAAGGTGCAGCTCTTCCCTAGGTCTCCAGTTCCCCAGCCTGCTCTTCAGATTTTGGACTTGCCAGGTTCCACAATTGCATAAGCCAATTCTTTTATAAAAAAATAAATATACACCAACAAACTGGACAAACTAGAAAAAATAGAAAATTTCTTTGGAGCATACAACCTACCAACATTGAATCAGGAAGAAATAGAAAATATGAACACACCAATTACTAGTAAGGTGATTAAATCAGTAATAAAAAAAATCTCCCAGCAAAGAAAAGCTCAGGACCATATGACTTCACTGGTGAATTAATGTATGTGTGCATGCTGATGTGTGTGTGTGTGTGTGTGTGTATAATATTTTTTAAAGGATGTTTCATTCACATTAAAAGTATAAAGCAATTTATCGAGAGTATAATTAATATTAAATCACTTGGTATGGGTAAAGTATTTAACTTTGAGTTTTTAAAAATACTTTTGTTTTAGAGCAGTTTTATTTCATAGCAAAATTAAGAAGAAGTTACAGAGACTTCCTATATACCCCATCCCCACACATGCACACCCTCTCCCATGATCAACATCCCTCACCAGAATGGTACATTTGTTACAATTGATGAACTATTTTGATACATCATAATCACTCAAAGTACATAGTTTACATTAGGATTCACTCTTGATGTTGCACATTGTATGGGCTTGGACAAATGTATAAAGACTTGTGTCCATGATTTTAACACTGGTTTTTATTGAATCTTTACAGCTGTACATGTCCCATTTCCTGAACAATGCATCTTAATCCACAGCTGTGAAAATGTCACATCCATTTTATATTAAATGTGTATATCTGGTGCTGGTTTTTACAGTCTTCCTTTAATTTCTATGTCAACCTGTCTGCTCCTAACAGCAACAAAATTAGTGCCATAGAACAATTAAATTACCTGGCAATGCAAATCCAACCTGCACAATTCTCCTTTCGGATAGCTGGGAAGAGTATCAATAATTAAATGAATGATACAGAGATACGCTCAACACTGAAGGTGCTAAAAACTGCTCTGAGTGCTTTCAAGACAGTGTTTCACTTACTTTTCACTACAATCTTAAGAAACAAGTACCATCCCATTCCCACTTAACACAAGAGAAAAAATTCAGAGACAGGAAACCGCCTACTAAAAGATCATGCATCCTGAAACTAAAGCCACGCAAGGTCAAACCTATGTCCTGAACCAGTTTTGTACTGAGTGTTCTGTTATGGCTGAGGCCAGCACCAGGGAAAGGACTTACCCAAGGGCCTGTGGTTTGGTGTGGGCACAGGCCTCCTGAAACCAGTCTTCTGACCAGCAGACCTTTTATTGCTTTGTTTCTACATATGCTGTCTTTTTCTTAAGCTCAGTTGGAAACTGCTCCTTCAGTGCCAAACTAGAAGGTAAAAGAAGGGAACAGGAAATTACCTGGAATGAAAGCAAATTATTTCTTTCTGTATGTTTCTCTTCCTTGGCTACATTTCCAGATGCTCTTTATGACAGATATGCACTTTGGTTTATTTAAAAGTTATCTGTTTTGTGGGACAAAGAAGGCAGGCTGGGTAGTACTAATGTTTGTCCAAGTCCTACAATGTGCCAGCTATTATAGGTTTTCTCTTTTTCTTTCCACCAGAGCACTGTAAGGAAGGTATCATTATTCCCATTTTACAGATGATCAAGGATAGGCCCACAGAGCACTATGCTTCTCCAGGGTCACGCATTGAGTCAGGAGTAAGAATGGGGTTCTCTCTCTCCCCTCCCCCTACATTATACCCACTGGCTTCCCTTTTGGAGTATGGGCTTCCAGAGCTTAAGAA